GGGATCCAAGGGAAGGGGCTTCCAGTCGATTCAAGTATGACATTTACGAGGTTGCTGTTTGATGTTGTTTTTCCCAACCATCCTGTGGTGTTGGGTCCTCGCTTTGACGAGACAGCGCCCCGCGTCACCTCCCGCCCTCCTCCCCCTCCCCCTCCTTCCTCTTACCCATCCTTGCCTCTGCTCTCATCAGTGTGCGTCTCCCTCACCCAGTACAGCGTTTCGTGGCCCCATAGGGAGCTCCGCCGAAGTCCCCAGTGGCTGAGCTCGCATGCGATTCCCCCACCCAGCACAGCATTTCGTGGCCCCATAGGGAGCTCCACCGAAGGCCCCAGTGGCAAAGTTCGCTTGCGTCTCCCCCACCCAGTACAGCGCTTCGTGGCTCCATAGGGAGCTCCACCGAAGACCCCAGTGGCTGCCCTCGCATGCTGTCCCCCCGCCCAGCACAGCGCTTCGTGGCCCCATAGGGAGCTCCAGGGAAGGCCCCAGTGGCAAAGCTCGCATGCGTCTCCCCCGCCTGGTACAGCGCTTCGTGGCCCCATAGGGACTTCCACTGAAGACGATACCAGCTGTGGAATTCACATCTGCATATGGTTGGGAGCTTCGCCAGGCTAATTTTCCGGGACTGGAACCGCCAGGGGGGGTGACAATCTGACCCAGGAGTTGCCCCGTGTACCCCCGAAGATCTCCCCCACCTCCGGCGGGGAAGGGATCAAAGGGAAAGGGTTTCCTTTCGATTCAAGTATGATGTTGCTGTTTCATTTCGATTGGGCTGGCGCGCTTGAGGGAGCCTAGGGTACAAGAAGAGAAAGGCGACGGCGACGATGACGAACGGAAGAGCGTTTTCTACACGCCGACAGGGTCGGCGGATTCTTCCCTTCTATCCTCTCTTCTGGAAGGGAGTAGGTGGGGGGGAGGACTGTGGAGGAGGACGAGGAGGACGGTGAGGAGGACCAGAGACAACCCAGGTTGCATCGACGATGCTTGAATGGTCCTTCTCGTCCAACCACTGGCGTGCTAGGGGTGCAAGTGCCTACGCGTATTCTTGATACAGCGGGAGTGATGGTCCCTAAAAGGCAATCGCCCCATGGGCTGGCGATGCATGCGACAAACCTGTCATGTTGAAGATCCGCCGCCCCGAACGATACGACGTGCAGATAGGTAAGTTCGAGAACCCCATTTCGAGAGAGGATCCGCCCTGGATCCGTGTGACTGACCGAAAAAGTGTTTGGCGACGGTGCGCGGCGCAACGGCGGGAACAAGCTGATAAGACATGCTCGCCAATAGGGATTGGCTTCGAGCCGCGCTGGGCCCCCGGGCACCTTCGGGGGTGGCCCCGCAAGATCCCGATGTGAGACTTTCCTTTGATAGAGTGGATCAGTTTCTCAGTTCGACGATGGTCGCTCAACTTTTGGCGTTCCGCTCGGATTTCTTGAATCGGCGCTTGGGGTCCCCCTGGCGGCGCCTCTGGCGCTGCCCCCTGGCGCGCTCCGCGCGCCAGGGAGGGGGGCCCAGCGCGGTTCGGAGAGACACGCGCGGAGCGCCAAAGTGCATGTTTATGCAGTTGTTGCTTGTTTTTTCTACACGACACCGGAGTGGGATGGTTCACGTTTGGCATTCGCTGGTCTCCCACCCCACACGGTGCGAAACTGTTTCAATGACGGTCACGATCTCTTAGATAGCCTCCTGGATGGTCAGGATGAATGCCAAGCCTTCCAACATGGCCCAAGATAGTTTCCAATTCGGACGGGGAGACCCGAAGACTGCTTACGAGGGTCCCAAGACTTGGATGACTCCAGAGGGTCCAGAACGCCCAAAGAGTGTTCAAAAGCATCTACTAGAGGTCCCCAAGGTCCACAAGGCTTGCTTTTTGTTCTTGCAATGGTCATGTGAGCTTGTCATACTTGCCTTTTCGGTCGTTATGGCTTCCAATATGGCCCAGACGTTCCCAAGAGAGCCAAGAAAGCAACCGCACAGCCTTAACGTGCCCCTGGAGGGCCCAAATCGTCCCCGAGCCTCCCCAATATGGTTCCCAGAGGCCCCCCCAAACCTTCCGAATTCGCGACTTGGTCGCCAGGGCCACCCGTAGTGTACCCAAAGATGACCCCAGCGGCCGCAAGAGGTCGCCACAGAGGCCCTAGGACGATTTGTGGGATCGTTTTCGGTCTCGATTCGGTTCGATGTGGATCTCTGAGAGAGCGTGATGCACCGCCGCTTTACTGTGGAAAATTCCCCCCCCCTCTTCCTCCGGAACCCGGGGGTCGCCCCCCTTTCCGAAAATCCCCCCCCTGCTGGAACCCCCCCCCTCCCCTCCCCCGGCAAAACCCCCCCTCCCCTAACCCCTCCCCCCTCGCCCTCGAAAAACCGGGGGCGGTCACTACCGGTTCGACCCCCCCCCCCTCCCTCGAAGACCAGAGGGGGTCACTACCGGTTCGAACCCCTCCCCCCCCTGCACCGCCAGCAAACGACTCCAGGTCCCTACCACTGTCCTCACCACCACTGTCCCCACTGGTTCCACCACCGTCCCTACTGTCTCCACCAGTGCCCCCACCACTGTCGCACTGTCCCCACTGTCCCCACCACTCTTCCCACCACGGTTCCACTCTCCCCGCTTTCTCCACGGCCCCAACCACTGCCCGACTATCCTCACTGTCCCCACTGTCCCACTGACTCCTCCGCTGTCCCACTGAGCTGTCCCACTGTTCCCACCACTGTCCCCACTGTCCCCACCACTGTCCCCACTGTACCTCTGTCCCATTGTCCCACCGCCGTCCTCGCCACCGCCTTCACCACTGTCCCCACCACCACTGTACCCTCCACTGTCCCACTGTTTCCACCACATTCCCACTGTCCCCACACCACTGTCCCCACCACCACCGTCCCCACCACTGTCCCACTGTTCCCACCATTGTCCTCACCACTGTCCCCACCACTACCGTCCCCAACCACTGTCCCACTGTCCCCACCACTGTCCCGCTGTCCCCTCACCACTGTCCCCACCACCACCGTCCCCACCACTGTGCGCCCCCCCCCCCCGGTTTTCGAGGGGGGGTGGAGGGGGTTCGAACCGGTAGTGAACCCCCCCAGTTTTCGAGGGGGGGGGGTTCGAACCGGTAGTGACCCCCCCTTTTCATGATGGACTGTGGGGGGGGGGAGGGGTTCGAGCTGGTAGTGACCCCCCCCGGTTTTCCGGAGGGGGGGCGGTTCGAACCAGTAGGTGACCCCCCCCGGTTTTCCGCCATCAGCGGTAGAACACACTCTTTCGGATCTCTTCAGGGTGCCAATCGACCTTCACAACCCATACCGAGTCCAAGCCGAAAGGATCCCAGCAGAGCACCAACATGACTCAAGAGGGCCCCAACATATTTTCGCAAGAGCCTCAAGCGGTCCACCGGCCCTCAAATTCGAGGCTCCGTCCAGCAAGGACCTTCACCGTGCCTCCTCTTCTTCGCGCGAAGAAGCAAGGGTGGTGCGGCAACCACGCCATACTGCTGGCCACATCCGATCCGCGGGCGAGGGCGGACGTGCCGATCGGCGCGGGGAAGGGAGAGGGGCAAGCCCCTCCCCGACAGGGGAAGATAGGCTTTGGAAGAGCTCGTGCTCTCTATACCAGGGGTCAGTGGGATCAGCCTGGTCAGGATGCCACTGGGTGGTTGAAAGCAGGTTTTTTTTGGATCCCACTATTCGAACCTACTTTCGGCGCCTTCCTGCCTCAATGATCGAGGAGACCCGATCCACTTCCAACGCCTTCCTATTTCATGCTTCTACCTGCTTTTTTCCAACAGATGGGTACTGCTATCTCGGCCCTGCTGCTTTCCGCCAGCATCGCGCAGACGTGTGCGTGGGCAGGTCAGAAGAAGTTTTGCGGCCAGTACCACGACGGAGGCGGCGCCCACGGACGCGGAGGACTGGATGGGTCTCGTCGTCTTCCGCGGTCATTCATGCTGTTTTATTCCACTGTGCGATGATCGGGAAAGAGGCACGTGGAGAACATATTCATAGGCTTTCCAGTGATACTCGGGAGGCTTGTGCCATTCCGCCGACCCCTAGAGTGCAAGATCTTCGGCTTCTGATCTCGTATGTGTTGTTTGCCGCTTCACGTCGTGCTGCCAGCGTGTAGTTGTTGCTGATTCATCCTCGTCTTCGTCGGCTGCTGTTGCGGGGCTTCTTGGGGGCTTGGTCAGGCCTTGCGGACACCATTCGATGGATCCTGGGGTTTTGGGGGGCCCCCTGGGGGCTGCCTGGACGACTCTGTGGACATGCTGGTGCTCTTGTGGGCAATATCTGAGGGTGTATCCAGGAACCCCTGCGAGTTCCCCCTCTCGGGCATCTTGGGGCCATTTTGAATGCCTTTTGAGCAGTGCTGAGGGCTTCCTTTTTGGACCGTCTCTGGGTCCTCTTGGCGCCTCTGGGGCCGCCTTGCGGTTTTAAGAAGTACGAACAAGTGAGAATGCGAACAGCATTTACAATCTGAGGGAACGCCGATGTGTTCTGCCTCTTGAGGCTCTCTTGGAGGTCTTCTGGGGGCCCTCTTGGAGCGTCGTGGGTGCCGTCTTGGGTCGTCTTGAGGATATCTTAAGTGTTTTCGAGACCTCCTCAGGATGTTGGAGCTCTTCTTGGGCCATCCTTGAAGGCATCTTGGGCACGTTGGTAGGGTACGGAGGGTGGAGTTGGAGACTCCGAGGGCCCCCAGGGGTGTACTGATGAGCACGTCCCCCCTCCGCACCTCGGGGTTAGCCGATCATCTCACACGCCGTCTCACCCCTGGCAAGCGGGGGTTCGGTGGAGTTATGTCTCGGTCGACGGGGGAGGAAGAGGAATCCATCAACGTGTGCCAGAGCAGGACTGACTGTGTCTGTCCTGACTTAGTCTCCTCAGGTCTCTTTGCTCTCGTCCGCAGTCGCGACTTTCGGTCGCCATTGGATCAAGCCGTTTTCGCATTAGTCTGGCAAGAGTTCCTCGTTCCAGCCTCATTGTAGCACGCCTGTTGCGCACAGCCAACCATGACTTCCCGCTGCGCGATGGCCCTCTTCGTCGCCCTGCTCGCCACGCCTAGCCTCGGTTCCAGGCTGCTGGCTCAGCGCACGTGCTCCGTCCAGGGCAAGGGCGTCACTGCAGACATTACGACCTCGCCCACGTCGGTCCCAGCGTCAGGGTCGGAGTCGAGCTGGACGTTCGCGGGCGCTGGGAAGTTGAAGATTGCGCACGCGGCCTGTCCCATCTCATCGAATGACCCCATGCCAGCCGCAGCTGAGACGATCACCAGCGGCGGGGCCAGCGATCCCTTCGCATGCCCTAAGGATACGGCGTGCTGCATCACCTACTGCTGCGGCACGGGGGACTGCTTCAGCACCTTCCTGCTGAAGAACAGCACGACCGTGAGCGCCAGCTCCAAGCGCATCTGCCTCTCCTCGGAGCTCTACACGCGGACCACGACCCAGGCGACGAACGCCAGCGCCGAGGTCGGCATGACCTCGTGGGCGGAGGAGACGACTGCGGCAGGCACGCATCACGGGCCTCGGCGGGGGCAGTGGGCTGGCGGAGTTCAAGCTCTGCACTCATGCAACTTGAAGACGCCGCGAGTCCCATCCGATCCCACGCATGCTCGCCTACGAGACGCTCAGGCAGCGAGGCGAAGGACAGCACAGCTAATTACACTTACAGCTACGTCACGGCGGAACCAGCGTCAGGGTCGGAGTCGAGCTGGACGTTCGCGGGCGCTTGCGCACGCGGCCTGCGAATGGCCAGCCGCAGCACGAGCGGCGGGGCCAGCGATCCGAAAGACTTCGCATGCCCTAAGGATACGGCGTGCTGCATCACCTACTGCTGCGGCACGGGGGACTGCTTCAGCACCTTCCTGCTGAAGAACAGCACGACCGTGAGCGCCAGCTCCAAGCGCATCTGCCTCTCCTCGGAGCTCGACACGCGGACCACGACCCAGGCGACGAACGCCAGCGCCGAGGTCGGCATGACCTCGTGGGCGGAGGAGACGACTGCGGCAGGCACGTGCATCACGGGCCTCGGCGGGGGCAGTGGGCTGGCGGAGTTCAAGCTCTGCGGCCCAGCGACGCTGGAGCTGTCGACGGGCATGAACTGCGACGGCCCCGACGAGACGGTGGTGCACGACACGGACAAGTCCGCCGCCGATTGCACCGTCGTCCAGAAGCCCACGGGCGGGTACTGGAACAGCTACAAGTACACCTGCGTGGCGGGCCTCGAGCGCTGAGTGGGCTGCGCGGCGACAGGGCGGGCGCGCTCCCGCCCCTCCTGCGCCGGAGCCCGGGCCTGCCCGCCCACGAAAGGCGAGCAGGGCGGCGGCGGGCGGCGGGGGCCCGGCGCCCGCGTGGAGCGGGCAGGGAGGCCTCGCTCTGTCGTCGTCGGTCGTCGACGTCGTCGTCGGCGTCCTCCTCTTTTACGCCCAGTGGTCGGTATCGTTGCCTGGAGGGCTGCGGCCTCTGCCCCCGGCCCCCGGGCGGGGCGATCTCGGGATGCTCTTGGGACCGCCTTGGGGGGCTCTCACAGGTGGCCCTGATGAGCTGTCCATGGGAGCCTCTTTGGGGGGGCATCTTGAGGCAACTCGGGTCGCACCCTCGGGCCGTCTCCTGCAAGTTTGGGGCTATCGTGCTGTGTCTCCAGCCTCCGGGATCATCTTTGGATCTGGGGAGCACCCTGGAGCCCACCGCCTACGTCACAGAGCTTGCACACTGGAGCTTGCACCACGCGCCGGAGACCACATGCAGTGCGCCGCAGAACGCTTACGCCACATCGGGTGCACCACATGGCTTGCGCATCGACAATGCAGTCACCTAGTTGTGGGGTCTCCGTTGGCGAACGTGTCAGAACATCTGTATCTTCAATACGCGCAGGCGCGGTTTCTGGATCGATGCATGTACATCGGCGCATGTTATGTACACACGACTTACGTGCGCGATCCAGGTGATGGGGATGACAAGGGGGGAGGCGGAGATCTACGCGCACCTTTTGCTGTCAGGGCCTCTTGGAGGGCTCTTGGGGTTAGCTTGGGGTCTTCTCGAAGCTCTCTTGGGGTTCCCTGGGGACTGCCTCGGGGCAGCGGGCGCTCGGCACTCTCGGCGACCACGTCGCCAACCTTCGCGCCGTCGGCGCTGGTGCCTCCTCGCCTCGGCCCCGCTGGCTCGGTCGGCTCGCTCTTGGGGGCAGGCCTTGGGGACACCGTTCGATGGACTGGGCGACTCTGTGGACATGCTGGGGCAATATCTGAGGGTGGGAACCCCTGCGAGCGGGCATGCGCAGTGCTGAGGGGGATCATTTTAAGAAGTACGAACAAGTGAGAATGCGAACAGCATTTTCCGAGGGAACGCCGAAGGCTCTCTTGGAGGTCAGCCCTCTTGGACGTCTCTCGAGACCTCCTCAGGATGTTGGAGCTCTTCTTGGGCCATCCTTGAAGGCATCTTGGGCACGTTGGTAGGGTACGGAGGGTGGAGTTGGAGACTCCGAGGGCCCCCAGGGGTGTACTGATGAGCACGTCCCCCCTCCGCACCTCGGGGTTAGCCGATCATCTCACACGCCGTCTCACCCCTGGCAAGCGGGGGTCGGTGGAGTTATGTCTCGGGCGACGGGGGAGGAAGAGGAATCCATCAACGTGTGCCAGAGCAGGACTGACTGTGTCTGTCCTGACTTAGTCTCCTCAGGTCTCTTTGCTCACGTCCGCAGTCGCGACTTTCGGTCGCCATTGGATCAAGCCGTTTTCGCATTAGTCTGGCAAGAGTTCCTCGTTCCAGCCTCATTGTAGCACGCCTGTTGCGCACAGCCAACCATGACTTCCCGCTGCGCGATGGCCCTCTTCGTCGCCCTGCTCGCCACGCCCGGCCTCGGTTCCAGGCTGCTGGCTCAGCGCACGTGCTCCGTCCAGGGCAAGGGCGTCACTGCAGACATTACGACCTCGCCCACGTCGGTCCCAGCGTTAGGGTCGGAGTCGAGCTGGACGTTCGCGGGCGCTGGGAAGTTGAAGATTGCGCACGCGGCCTGTCCCATCTCATCGAATGACCCCATGCCAGCCGCAGCTGAGACGATCACCAGCGGCGGGGCCAGCGATCCGAAGGACTTCGCATGCCCTAAGGATACGGCGTGCTGCATCACCTACTGCTGCGGCACGGGGGACTGCTTCAGCACCTTCCTGCTGAAGAACAGCACGACCGTGAGCGCCAGCTCCAAGCGCATCTGCCTCTCCTCGGAGCTCTACACGCGGACCACGACCCAGGCGACGAACGCCAGCGCCGAGGTCGGCATGACCTCGTGGGCGGAGGAGACGACTGCGGCAGGCACGTGCATCACGGGCCTCGGCGGGGGCAGTGGGCTGGCGGAGTTCAAGCTCTGCGGCCCAGCGACGCTGGAGCTGTCGACGGGCATGAACTGCGACGGCCCCGACGAGACGGTGGTGCACGACACGGACAAGTCCGCCGCCGATTGCACCGTCGTCCAGAAGCCCACGGGCGGGTACTGGAACAGCTACAAGTACACCTGCGTGGCGGGCCTCGAGCGCTGAGTGGGCTGCGCGGCGACAGGGCGGGCGCGCTCCCGCCCCTCCTCCGCCGGAGCCCGGGCCTGCCCGCCCCCGAAAGGCGAGCAGGGCGGCGGCGGGCGGCGGGGGCCCGGCGCCCGCGTGGAGCGGGCAGGGAGGCCTCGCTCTGTCATCGTCGGTCGTCGACGTCGTCGTCGGCGTCCTCCTCTTCTACGCCCAGTGGTCGGTATCGTTGCCTGGAGGGCTGCGGCCTCTGCCCCCGGCCCCCGGGCGGGGCGATCTCGGGATGCTCTTGGGACCTCCTTGGGGGGCTCTCACAGGTGGCCCTGATGAGCTGTCCATAGGAGCCTCTTTGGGGGGGCATCTTGAGGCAACTCGGGTCGCACCCTCGGGCCGTCTCCTGCAAGTTTGGGGCTATCGTGCTGTGTCTCCAGCCCCCGGGATCATCTTTGGATCTGGGGAGCACCCTGGAGCCCACCGCCTACGTCACAGAGCTTGCACACTGGAGCTTGCACCACGCGCCGCAGACCACATGCAGTGCGCCGCAGAACGCTTACGCCACATCGGGTGCACCACATGGCTTGCGCATCGACAATGCAGTCACCTAGTTGTGGGGTCTCCGTTGGCGAACGTGTCAGAACATCTGTATCTTCAATGCGCGCAGGCGCGGTTTCTGGATCGATGCATGTACATCGGCGCATGTATGTACACACTTAACTTACGTGCGCGATCCGGTTATCTTGCAAAGGCCTTGTACTCCCATGTCCGTCGGCCCCGAAACGGGATCAGCAAGGACGGGCGAGGTCGGAGGGGGGCGGATGAAGGGATCATTTCGACTCAATTCAAAGCTTCGCGTATCTCCACCGGCCATTCAGAAACGATTGTTATCCATGAGAGTTGTTCGGATGGGGAGTTTGAAGGAGGGGAGGAGGAGGAGAACGAGGAGCGGGAGGACGAAGAGGACCACCAAACAGAGGAGGAGGAGGAGGAAGAGGAGGAGGAGGATGAGGTGGAGGAGGACGAGCAGGAGGAGGAGGAGGAGGAGGAGGAGGAGGAGGAGGAGGAGGAGGAGGAGGAGGAGGAGGTGGAGGAGGAGGAGGAGGCGGAGGAGGAGGAGGAGGAGGAGGACGAGGAGGAGGAGGAGGAGGAGGACGAGAGGAGGAGGAGGAGGAGGGAGGAGGAGGAGGAGGAGGAGGAGGAGGAGAGGGAGGAGGAGGAGGAGGAGGAGGAGGAGGAGGAGGAGAGGAGGAGGAGGAGGAGGAGGAGGAGGAGGAGGCGGAGGAGGAGGAGGAGGAGGAGGGAGGAGGAGCAGGAGGAAGGGGAGGAAGGGGAGGACGAGGAGAACGAAGAGGAGGATGACAAGGGGGGAGGCGGAGATCTACGCGCACCTTTTGCTGTCAGGGCCTCTTGGAGGGCTCTTGGGGTTAGCTTGGGGTCTTCTCGAAGCTCTCTTGGGGTTCCCTGGGGACTGCCTCGGGGCAGCGGGCGCTCGGCACTCTCGGCGACCACGTCGCCAACCTTCGCGCCGTCGGCGCTGGTGCCTCCTCGCCTCGGCCCCGCTGGCTCGGTCGCCCCGCTCGCTCTTGGGGGCTTGGTGAGGCCTTGGGGACACCGTTCGATGGATCCTGGGGTTTTGGGGGGCCCCCTGGGGGCTTCCTGGACGACTCTGTGGACATGCTGGTGCTCTTGTGGGCAATATCTGAGGGTGTATCCAGGAACCACTGCGAGTTCCCCCTCTCGGGCATCTTGGGGCCATTTTGAATGCCTTTTGCGCAGTGCTGAGGGCTTCCTTTTTGGACCGTCTCCGGGTCCTCTTGGCGCCTCTGGGGCCGCCTTGCGGTTTTAAGAAGTACGAACAAGTGAGAATGCGAACAGCATTTACAATCCGAGGGAACGCCGATGTGTTCTGCCTCTTGAGGCTCTCTTGGAGGTCTTTTGGGGGCCCTCTTGGAGCGTCGTGGGTGCCGTCTTGGGTCGTCTTGAGGATATCTTAAGTGTTTTCGAGACCTCCTCAGGATGTTGGAGCTCTTCTTGGGCCATCCTTGAAGGCATCTTGGGCACGTTGGTAGGGTACGGAGGGTGGAGTTGGAGACTCCGAGGGCCCCCAGGGGTGTACTGATGAGCACGTCCCCCCTCCGCACCTCGGGGTTAGCCGATCATCTCACACGCCGTCTCACCCCTGGCAAGCGGGGGTCGGTGGAGTTATGTCTCGGGCGACGGGGGAGGAAGAGGAATCCATCAACGTGTGCCAGAGCAGGACTGACTGTGTCTGTCCTGACTTAGTCTCCTCAGGTCTCTTTGCTCACGTCCGCAGTCGCGACTTTCGGTCGCCATTGGATCAAGCCGTTTTCGCATTAGTCTGGCAAGAGTTCCTCGTTCCAGCCTCATTGTAGCACGCCTGTTGCGCACAGCCAACCATGACTTCCCGCTGCGCGATGGCCCTCTTCGTCGCCCTGCTCGCCACGCCCGGCCTCGGTTCCAGGCTGCTGGCTCAGCGCACGTGCTCCGTCCAGGGCAAGGGCGTCACTGCAGACATTACGACCTCGCCCACGTCGGTCCCAGCGTTAGGGTCGGAGTCGAGCTGGACGTTCGCGGGCGCTGGGAAGTTGAAGATTGCGCACGCGGCCTGTCCCATCTCATCGAACGACCCCATGCCAGCCGCAGCTGAGACGATCACCAGCGGCGGGGCCAGCGATCCGAAGGACTTCGCATGCCCTAAGGATACGGCGTGCTGCATCACCTACTGCTGCGGCACGGGGGACTGCTTCAGCACCTTCCTGCTGAAGAACAGCACGACCGTGAGCGCCAGCTCCAAGCGCATCTGCCTCTCCTCGGAGCTCTACACGCGGACCACGACCCAGGCGACGAACGCCAGCGCCGAGGTCGGCATGACCTCGTGGGCGGAGGAGACGACTGCGGCAGGCACGTGCATCACGGGCCTCGGCGGGGGCAGTGGGCTGGCGGAGTTCAAGCTCTGCGGCCCAGCGACGCTGGAGCTGTCGACGGGCATGAACTGTGACGGCCCCGACGAGACGGTGGTGCACGACACGGACAAGTCCGCCGCCGATTGCACCGTCGTCCAGAAGCCCACGGGCGGGTACTGGAACAGCTACAAGTACACCTGCGTGGCGGGCCTCGAGCGCTGAGTGGGCTGCGCGGCGACAGGGCGGGCGCGCTCCCGCCCCTCCTCCGCCGGAGCCCGGGCCTGCCCGCCCCCGAAAGGCGAGCAGGGCGGCGGCGGGCGGCGGGGGCCCTGCGCCCGCGTGGAGCGGGCAGGGAGGCCTCGCTCTGTCATCGTCGGTCGTCGACGTCGTCGTCGGCGTCCTCCTCTTTTACGCCCAGTGGTCGGTATCGTTGCCTGGAGGGCTGCGGCCTCTGCCCCCGGCCCCCGGGTGGGGCGATCTCGGGATGCTCTCGGGACCTCCTTGGGGGCTCTCACAGGTGGCCCTGATGAGCTGTCCATGGGAGCCTCTTTGGGGGGGCATATTGAGGCCTCTCGGGTCGCACCCTCGGGCCGTCTCCTGCAAGTTTGGGGCTATCGTGCTGTGTCTCCAGCCTCCGGGATCATCTTTGGATCTGGGGAGCACCCTGGAGCCCACCGCCTACGTCACAGAGCTTGCACACTGGAGCTTGCACCACGCGCCGTAGACCACACGCACTGCGCCGCAGAACGCTTACGCCACATCGGGTGCACCACATGGCTTGCGCATCGACAGTGCAGTCACCTAGTTGTGGGGTCTCCGTTGGCGAGCGTGTCAGAACATCTGTATCGTCAATGCGCGCAGGCGCGGTTTCTGGAGCGATGCATGTACATCGGCGCATTTATGTACACACTTAACTTACGTGCGCGATCCGGTTATCTTGCAAAGGCCTTGTACTCCCATGTCCGTCGGCCCCGAAACGGGCTCAGCAAGGACGGGCGAGGTCGGAGGGGGGCGGATGAAGGGATCATTTCGACTCAATTCAAAGCTTCGCGTATCTCCACCAGCCCATCCAGAAACGATGGTTATCCATGAGAGTTGTTCGGATGGGGAGTTTGAAGGAGGGGAGGAGGAGGAGAACGAGGAGCGGGAGGAGGAAGAGGACCACCAAACGGAGGAGGAGGGGAGGAGGAGGAGGTGGAGGAGGACGAGCAGGAGGAGGAGGAGGAGGAGGAGGAGGAGGAGGAGGAGGAGGAGGAGGAGGAGGAGGAAAGAGGAGGAGGAGGAGGAGGAGGAGGAGGAGGAGGAGGAGGACGGGGAGGACGAGGAGAACGAAGAGGAGGATGACAAGGGGGAGGCGGAGATCTACGCGCATCTTTTGCTGTCAGGGCCTCTTGGAGGGCTCTTGGGGTTAGCTTAGGGTCCTCTCGGTGCTCTCTTGGGGTTCCCTGGGGACTGCCTCGGGGCAGCGGGCGCTCGGCACTCTCGGCGAACACCTCGCCAACCTTCGCGCCGTCGGCGCTGGTGCCTCCTCGCCTCGGCCCCGCTGGCTCGGTCGCCCCGCTGGTCGGGCCGCCTGACTTCCTGGCAGGAGGAAGGCGGGCGGCGGCAGCGGGGACCGCTCAGCGTCATCGGCATCGAAGAGGGGCGCCCCGCCAGCGGCGTCAGCCTTCGGGGCGTCGCCCCTCTCACTGGGCGGCGGCGTCGCGGCCCCCTGCTGCGGCCTCGCGTCGGGCCCTGTGCGGCGCGTGTCGATGCGCGCCGGCTCGCGGCCCGCGCCGGGGCTCTCCACCCTGCGACCCTCGGCGGCCTCGTCGCAGAAGTGGAGGAACCCTTTGCCGTTTTCTCCCTCGCAGGAGGCGATGCCACGCAGTTCACGCCTGCGCCTCGGCGACGTCGAGGAAGACGGCCTCGAGGAAGGCGGCGTCCTTCCCGTCGGCGCTGAAGGCCTTGCCCTCCGCCTCCACGAGGAAGTGGCGGACATTGCCGTTCGCCGCGCCGCTGACCTCGATCACGTCACCACTCTTGACGACCGTGAGCGGTCCTCGTGACTCGCCCCACGCGGGGCGGGGCGCTGACGCGGGCCACCCCGCTTCGCCCTCTTGCGATTCCCACGGCGCTTGCGAGGCTTCGCGGCTGGGACGATCGCTCCACCCTTACCTCCAGGGCCCGAAGCGTCGTCGGCAAGGCCCTTCTCTGGCCCCTCGCGCTTCCCCCGCGCGCCGCGGGCCCATGTCACCCATGTCCTTGGGTTGCCTTGCCAGCGGCGGCTGCTGCGGCCCCTTCCGCCTCAGCTGCGATGGCTGGGCCAGCCGCGGCTGCAGCTCCCTGCCTCACGGCCGTCGCCGGCTTGGCCCTCGGCTGCCGCGGGGGCGTCTTGGGCCGCCGTGGGCTGGCAGAAGCAAGCCTCTTCCCGACGATCCTCCGCCTTCGCCTGCGGCCCTGGCCCCTGCGGGGCCCTGAACCCTGGGGCGGCGCTGCCATGTGGACCCTGCCACGGGGGCCTTCGGTGGAGCTCCCTACGGGGCCACGAACCGTGTGAGGGGTGCGCCAAAAATGGTGCGGCGCCGCCATGTGGACCCTGCCACTGGGGTCTTCGGTTGAGCTCCCTATCGGACCACGAACTGTTTGAGGGGTGCGCCAAGTGGGGCGGCGCCGCCATGTGGACCCTACCACGGGGGCCTTCGGTGGAGCTCCCTACGGGGCCACGAGCAGTGTGAGGGGTGCGCCAAAAATGGGGCGGCGCTGCCATGTGGACCCTGCCACGGGGGTCTTCGGTGGAGCTCCCTACGGGGCCACGAACCGTTTGAGGGGTGCGCCAAGTGGGGCGGCGCCGCCATGTGGGCCCTGCCACTGGGGCGTTCGGTGGAGCTCCTTACGGGGCCACGAAGTGTTACACTGGGTGCGCCGGAACAAAGGCATGCGAAGGGCAGAGGCAAGGGTGGGAGGAGGGAGGAGGGAATGTGGGACGCGGGGCGCTGTCTCTTTTCAAAACGAGGACCCAACGCCGCAGGATGGTTGGGACCAACCTCGTGCAGTGCCGTGTCCGAGCCGCGTGCCGTGCCGTGCGCGTGCCGTGCCGTGTTCGAGTCTTGGATTGCGACCGAGCTACTGTGCTCGAGTCCTGGATTGCGACCAAGCTGCTGTGCCGTGCCTTCGCCGTGCCTGATCTCCAGAGAGCGAAGGATGTGCGCGTGCCGTGCCCGCGTGTGCCGCGCCGCGCCCGAAGCCCAGGCTGCGAAGAAGGCGCGGTGCCGTGCCGTGTCCGCGTGCCTTGCCGTGCCTTGCCGTGCCTGAGTCGTAGAATGCCGAAAAAAGGTGCCGTGCCGTGCCGTGCCGTACCCGTGCCGTGCCTGAATCTACAGTGCGACAAGGTGCCTTGCCGTGTCAGCTGCGTGCCGTGGCGTGTTGACCGTGTGTCTTGTCATGCAGCGTTGGTGTGTAAGGTTTCCATGGGGTCGTAGCCTCGGCAGGGGGGGCAGTGCATGCTGCATGCCCACTCTGCTACCAAGAGGGGGTGCCCTACCAGACAGCACTTGGCATTATATTTCGCCCCTCAATGTCTTTCCTGAACGAGTCTCCCGCTCCCTCCTGTTGCTGTTTTCCACGTTGACTGGGCGTTCGTTTTCTTTGCTCTCATCCGCAGTCGCGACTTTCGGTAGCCATTGGATCAAGCCGTTTTCGCATTAGTCTGGCAAGAGTTCCTCGTTTCAGCCTCATTGTAGCACGCCTGTTGCGCACAGCCAACCATGACTTCCCTCTGCGCGATGGCCCTCTTCGTCGCCCTGCTCGCCACGCCTAGCCTCGGTTCCAGGCTGCTGGCTCAGCGCACGTGCTCCGTCCAGGGCAAGGGCGTCACTGCAGACATTACGACCTCGCCCACGTCGGTCCCGGCGTCAGGGTCGGAGTCGAGCTGGACGTTCGCGGGCGCTGGGAAGTTGAAGATTGCGCACGCGGCCTGTCCCATCTCATCGAATGACCCCATGCCAGCCGCAGCTGAGACGATCACCAGCGGCGGGGCCAGCGATCCGAAGGACTTCGCATGCCCTAAGGATACGGCGTGCTGCATCACCTACTGCTGCGGCACGGGGGACTGCTTCAGCACCTTCCTGCTGAAGAACAGCACGACCGTGAGCGCCAGCTCCAAGCGCATCTGCCTCTCCTCGGAGCTCTACACGCGGACCACGACCCAGGCGACGAACGCCAGCGCCGAGGTCGGCATGACCTCGTGGGCGGAGGAGAGACTGCGGCAGGCACGTGCATCACGGGCCTCGGCGGGGGCAGTGGGCTGGCGGAGTTCAAGCTCTGCGGCCCAGCGACGCTGGAGCTGTCGACGGGCATGAACTGCGACGGCCCCGACGAGACGGTGGTGCACGACACGGACAAGTCCGCCGCCGATTGCACCGTCGTCCAGAAGCCCACGGGCGGGTACTGGAACAGCTACAAGTACACCTGCGTGGCGGGCCTCGAGCGCTGAGTGGGCTGCGCGGCGACAGGGCGGGCGCGCTCCCGCCCCTCCTCCGCCGGAGCCCGGGCCTGCCCGCCCCCGAAAGGCGAGCAGGGCGGCGGCGGGCGGCGGGGGCCCGGCGCCCACGTGGAGCGGGCAGGGAGGCCTCGCTCTGTCGTCGTCGGTCGTCGGCGTCCTCCTCTTGTCCGAACCATTCTGTGGTGTTGGGTCCTCGTTTTGAAGAGACGACGCCGCGCGTCCCTCCTCCTCCTCCTCCTCCTCCTTCTCCTCCCGCTGCCCCCCCTCCCTCTCCCCATCATCAGCATCACCGTCACCATCATCATCGTCATCATCATCATCACCATCATCATCAGTCCGGCACACCTCACACGGTTCGTGGCCCCATAGGGAGCCCCACCGAAGGCCCCAGTGGCTGCGTCCTCATGCGTCACCGCCACTCATTACGGCACAACCCTCACACGGTTCGTGGCCCCGAGTTCCACCGAAGGCCCCAATGGGTGCGTCCTCATGCGTCACCGCCACCCAATTCGGCACACCCTTCACACGGTTCGTGGCCCCATAGGGAGCTCCACCGAACGCCCCAGTAGTTGCGTCCTCATGCGTCACCGCCACGCATTACGGGACACCCCTCACACGGTTCGTGGCCCCATAGGGAACTCCACCGAAGGCCCCAATGGGTGCGTCTTCATGCGTCACCGCCACCACCCTTCACACGGTTCGTGGCCCCATAGGGAGCTCCACCGAACGCCCCAGTAGTTGCGTCCTCATGCGTCAACGCCACGCATTACGGGACACTCCTCACACGGTTCGTGGCCCCATAGGGAGATCCACCGAAGGCCCCAGTGGCTGCGTCCTCATGCGTCACCGCCACCCAGGACAGCGTTTCGTGGCCCCCCTAGGGAGCTTCACCGAAGGCTCCAGTGGCAGGGTCCGCATGCGTCACCGCCACCCTACGAGGAGCTGGAGGATACCGAGGAGCTGGAGGGGGAAGAGGACCACCAACAGGAGGAGGAGGAGGAGGAGGAGGAGGAGGAGGAGGAGGAGGAGGAGAGGAGGAGGAGGAGGAGGATGGAGGAGGGAGTAGGGGAGAGGAGCGTAGGAGAGTAGGAGGGGAGGAGAGGAGGAGGAGGGGAGAGAGGAGGAGATAAGGATGAGGCGGAGGTGACGAGGAGGAGAGCATATGATGAGAGGATTGCCGAGGTTGAGGACGAGGAGGATGAGGAGAGGCGAGGAGGGGGGGATAGGTTGCTGAGGAGATGAGGAGGAGGGAGAACGAGTCAGGAGAGGAGCCGGGTGGCAGGGCAGAGGAGGATGATGAGGAGAGGATGAGGGGAAGGTGGAGGAGCAGGAGGAGGAGGGGAGAGAGGAGGAGGAGGAGGAGAGGTGGAGGCGGAGAGAGGAGGAGGAGGAGGAGTAGGAGTGGAGGAGGAGGAGGAGAGGAGGAGGAGGAGGCATGAGAAGAGGAGAGGAGCAGAGAGGAGGAGAGGAGGGAGGCGAGGAGGAGGAGGAGGAGGAGGAGGAGGAGGAGGAGGAGGAGGAAGGGGAGGACGAGGAGAACGAAGAGGAGGATGACAAGGGGGAGGCGGAGATCTACGCGCATCTTTTGCTGTCAGGGCCTCTTGGAGGGCTCTTGGGGTTAGCTTAGGGTCCTCTCGGTGCTCTCTTGGGGTTCCCTGGGGACTGCCTCGGGGCAGCGGGCGCTCGGCACTCTCGGCGAACACCTCGCCAACCTTCGCGCCGTCGGCGCTGGTGCCTCCTCGCCTCGGCCCCGCTGGCTCGGTCGCCCCGCTGGCCGGGCCGCCTGACTTCCTGGCAGGAGGAAGGCGGGCGGCGGCAGCGGGGACCGCTCAGCGTCATCGGCATCGAAGAGGGGCGCCCCGCCAGCGGCGTCAGCCTTCGGGGCGTCGCCCCTCTCACTGGGCGGCGGCGTCGCGGCCCCCTGCTGCGGCCTCGCGTCGGGCCCTGTGCGGCGCGTGTCGATGCGCGCCGGCTCGCTGCCCGCGCCGGGGCTCTCCACCCTGCGACCCTCGGCGGCCTCGTCGCAGAAGTGGAGGAACCCTTTGCCGTTTTCTCCCTCGCAGGAGGCGATGCCACGCAGTTCACGCCTGCGCCTCGGCGACGTCGAGGAAGACGGCCTCGAGGAAGGCGGCGTCCTTCCCGTCGGCGCTGAAGGCCTTGCCCTCCGCCTCCACGAGGAAGTGGCGGACATTGCCGTTCGCCGCGCCGCTGACCTCGATCACGTCACCACTCTTGACGACCGTGAGCGGTCCTCGTGACTCGCCCCACGCGGGGCGGGGCGCTGACGCGGGCCACCCCGCTTCGCCCTCTTGCGATTCCCACGGCGCTTGCGAGGCTTCGCGGCTGGGACGATCGCTCCACCCTTACCTCCAGGGCCCGAAGCGTCGTCGGCAAGGCCCTTCTCTGGCCCCTCGCGCTTCCCCCGCGCGCCGCGGGCCCATGTCCTTGGGCTGCCTTGCCAGCGGCGGCTGCTGAGGCCCCTTCGCCTCAGCTGCGATGGCTGGGCCAGCCGCGGTTGCAGCTCCCTCCGGCACAGCCGCCGCGTGCTTGGCCCTCGGCCACCGCGGGGGCGTCTTGGGCCGCCGTGGGCTGGCAGAAGCAAGCCTCTTCCCGACGATCCTCCGCCTTCGCCTGCGGCCCCGGCGCCTGCGGGGCCCCGAACCCTGGGGCGGCGCCGCCACGTGGACCCTGCCACGGGGGCCTTCGGTGGAGCTCCCTACGGGGCCACGAACCGTGTGAGGGGTGCGCCAAAAATGGGCGGCGCCGCCATGTGGACCCTGCCACTGGGTGCTTCGGTTGAGCTCCCTATCGGACCACGAACTGTTTGAGGGGTGCGCCAAGTGGGGCGGCGCCGCCATGTGGACCCTACCACGGGGGCCTTCGGTGGAGCTCCCTACGGGGCCACGAACCACTGGAGGGGTGCGCCAAAATGGGGCGGCGCCGCCATGTGGACCCTGCCACTGGTGCCCTCGGTGGAGCTCCCTATGGGGCTACGAGCCGTGTGGGGGGTGCGCCAAAATGGGGCGGCGCCGCCATGTGGGCCCTGCCACTGGGGCCTTCGGCGGAGTTCTCTACGGGGCCACGAAGTGTTGCACTGGGTGCGCCGGAACAAAGGCATGCGAAGGGCAGAGGCCAGGGTGGGAGGAGGGAGGAGGGGGAAAAGGAGGGTGGAACGCGGGGCGGTGTCTCTTCAAAACGAGGACCCACCACCACAGGATTGTTAGGACCAATCTCGTGCGGTGCCGTGCCCGCGGCGTGCCGTGCCGTGCGCGTGCCGTGCCGTGTTCGAGTCCTGGATTGCGACCGAGCTACTGTGCTCGAGTCCTGGATTGCGACCAAGCTGCTGTGCCGTGCCCGCGCCGTGCCTGATCTCCAGAGAGCGAAGGATGTGCGCGTGCCGTGCCCGCGTGTGCCGCGCCGCGCCCGAAGACCAGGCTGCGAAGAAGGCGCGGTGCCGTGCCGTTTCCGCGTGCCTTGCCGTGCCTTGCCGTGCCTGAGTCGTAGAATACCGAAAAAGGTGCCGTGCCGTACCCGCGCCGTGCCTGAATCTACAGTGCGACAAGGTTGCCTTGCCGTGTCAGTGCGTGCCGTGGCGTGTTGACCGTGTGTCTTGTCATGCAGCGTTGGTGTGTAAGGTTTCCATGGGTTCGTAGCCTCGGCAGGGGGGGGCAGTGCATGCTGCATGCCCACTCTGCTACCAAGAGGGGGGTGCCCTACCAGACAGCACTTGGCATTATATTTCGCCCCTCAATGTCTTTCCTGAACGAGTCTCCCGCTCCCTCCTGTTGCTGTTTTCCACGTTGACTGGGCGTTCGTTTTCTTTGCTCTCATCCGCAGTCGCGACTTTCGGTAGCCATTGGATCAAGCCGTTTTCGCATTAGTCTGGCAAGAGTTCCTCGTTCCAGCCACATTGTAGCACGCCTGTTGCGCACAGCCAACCATGACTTCCCGCTGCGCGATGGCCCTCTTCGTCGCCCTGCTCGCCACGCCCGGCCTCGGTTCCAGGCTGCAGGCTCAGCGCACGTGCTCCGTCCAGGGCAAGGGCGTCACTGCAGACATTACGACCTCGCCCACGTCGGTCCCGGCGTCAGGGTCGGAGTCGAGCTGGACGTTCGCGGGCGCTGGGAAGTTGAAGATTGCGCACGCGGCCTGTCCCATCTCATCGAATGACCCCATGCCAGCCGCAGCTGAGACGATCACCAGCGGCGGGGCCAGCGATCCGAAGGACTTCGCATGCCCTAAGGATACGGCGTGCTGCATCACCTACTGCTGCGGCACGGGGGACTGCTTCAGCACCTTCCTGCTGAAGAACAGCACGACCGTGAGCGCCAGCTCCAAGCGCATCTGCCTCTCCTCGGAGCTCTACACGCGGACCACGACCCAGGCCACGAACGCCAGCATGCCGAGGAAGGCATGACCTCGCTGGGCGGAGCGACGCTGGACGACTGCGGCACGGGGGACTGCTTCAGCACCTTCCTGCTGAAGAACAGCACGACCGTGAGCGCCAGCTCCAAGCGCATCTGCCTCTCCTCGGAGCTCTACACGCGGACCACGACCCAGGCGACGAACGCCAGCGCCGAAGTCGGCATGACCTCGTGGGCGGAGGAGACGACTGCGGCAGGCACTTGCATCACGGGCCTCGGCGGGGGCAGTGGGCTGGCGGAGTTCAAGCTCTGCGGCCCAGCGACGCTGGAGCTGTCGACGGGCATGAACTGCGACGGCCCCGACGAGACGGTGGTGCACGACACGGACAAGTCCGCCGCCGACTGCACCGTCGTCCAGAAGCCCACGGGCGGGTACTGGAACAGCTACAAGTACACCTGCGTGGCGGGCCTCGAGCGCTGAGTGGGCTGCGCGGCGACAGGGCGGGCGCGCTCCCGCCCCTCCTCCGCCGGAGCCCGGACCTGCCCGCCCCCGAAAGGCGAGCAGGGCGGCGGCGGGCGGCGGGGGCCCTGCGCCCGCGTGGAGCGGGCAGGGAGGCCTCGCTCTGTCGTCGTCGGTCGTCGACGTCGTCGTCGGCGTCCTCCTTTTTTCCCAACCATCCTGTGGTGTTGGGTCCTCGTTTTGAAGAGACAGCGCCCCGCGTCCTACCTCCTTCCGCCTTCCTCCTCTCCTCCTCCTCCTCCCTCCTCCACCATCCTTGCCTTTGCTCTCCGCATGTCTCAGCTCACCCCCTCCTCCCGTCATCATCATCATCATCATCATCATCATCATCATCATCATCATCATCATCATCATCATCATCATCATCATCATCATCATCATCATCATCATCA